TACGACTGCTACAGTAATTTAACATCGTGGCTCTTTTATTGACACAAACGTTACTTTTTAATTAATTTTGTATAGTATAAACTTCATTCTCCAATTACAAAAAAAATTCCGATTTAAAATCAAAAATTGAAACAATGAGTTATCTAATTTAGTGTCTACAGACATATTTTGAATGTTATTTATGGGCGTATCGGGAGATTTTTCCCGGGGGGGGGGGCAGTTTCATTAGCTGTGTATATAGGTTTGATGTGTTTGGCTTCTATGTTTTTAAACTTTGTAACGATATCGTGATTCGTCATATTTTCGGGGGGGGGGGGTTAGGGTAAATGACCTTACTGGGGATACAGTGCCCCTGTTGCCTCCTATCTATCTACGTCCAAGATGTCATTGATCAATTATTTGACGAATTATAATTTTAAGTTTTGGTAATATGAGAATTAGACAATGCATTAGATTCTGTTAAAGAGATCATTAAATTAATTATATTTTTAATTCTATAGGTATATATAGGTATATAGATACAAACTTAAGTAGAAGTGTTGATGTGATTCGCTGATAAAATAATGTTGAAGCAAACGATTCTGTGATAATGACTATTTCATTGATTTACTGGTATTTGAAATACTAATATTTTGAAGAGATATCTGAGCGAATATAAAGATAGGAGACGAAAAATAGAAGAAGTGGCTGATTTTAGATATCTAGGAAGTCAGATAAGTTAGGGCGGAAGGAGTAGTAGGGATATAAAGCAGAGGATAGCGCAGGGTCGTGTCGCTTTTAATAAAAAGAAGTCACTTCTATGCTCGCGAACGGTTAATTTAAAAATTAGAAAGAGGTTGTTTAAGGTGTATGTTTGGAGCGCGGCGCTGTAAGGGTGTGAAACATGGACGGTGGGCGCGGCGGAAAATAAAAGGTTAGAAGCGTTAGAAATGTGGTGTTATAGGCGGATGATGAGGATATCGTGGGTAGAAAAGGTTAGAAATGAAAAGGTATCTATTAGAAAGAATAGGAGAACAGAGAACTCTATGGAAGTCAATAAAAAATAGACGAGATAGGTTGGTAGGACACCTTCTCAGGCATGAAGGTCTAGTCAGAGACATATTAGAGGCAGAAACAGGAGTTAGGAGGGGTAGAGGTAGACCTAGATTAGATTACTCTTCGCAAATAGTTAAGGATGTGAATTGTTCTAGTTTTAGAGAAATGCGAAGTTTAGCTCAGGATAGGAAAGAGTGGAGGTGTGTGTCCAACCAGTCTTAGGACTGACGACCCAATGATGATGATGATGATCTGATGAAATTTTCATGGATGTCACCTTTACGGCATATGTCATTTGGAGAGCTGTCGTACTTTCCTTCAACTTCCGAACTTTAATTAAAGAAATTTCAGTAGCCACACTACGACTCGTTCCCGTAAAATTTAATCCTTCCAAGGAGTCCAAGTTGACTAACTGTTCCGCCGTTATTCTGAAGCATTTTACGAGTTTAATTCTCGTTGGAGGACAATCTTTGTTCCCGTTAATGTTGTAAACGGTTGTTATGCCCTATGAATTCTAATGCACGGTCGGGTCCTGTGTATCTTCTTGATCCATTCGAGAAATATTCAAGCGACACTTATGCCATTGTCTTGAGACACACCATACACCATCACCGTCTTCGTCGGTGATTCGTCTGTCCTCTTTTCTCCGTAGTTCCTTGGTAAATTACCGTTCTCGAAGAGGATATTTCCCCGGAGTTCTCTCTCTCGTTGTTTGTATACGGCGTCCACGGATTTAGGTTCGCTTGTTTGTTATATCACGAAATATACACAAAGCAATTTTCAACGGTCGCCATCGTCGCACCGTTTGCCATGATTTATTTTACTTACCTTGCGCTGCTGCTAGTCCTTGTAATGAGCACGATGTATATGTAGGTAGTATCTATGTGTACAGGGATCGCAGCAAAGCTTTTCTCTTTATGTATTGCCTACCCACCTCAACGCGTCTTAAGTACATTCGATTTTCTATTGTATCGAATATAAACACGAATTTTCTTCACTTAAAATGAAAATAAACCACTAATTAGAGGATATAACCAAATCAATACAGCTTCGAGAAGAACTACAGCGTAATATTTGATTCTGTTGTCTATAGAAACGAATTTTCGTTTAGGTACGGTGAAATGACAGTAAATTTTATACCTATTTATACTAATCAATACTTAAACCTTTGTACATCTAATTGATATACCTACCTAAGGTCACTTTAGCTAAAGAAATTTACATTCCAACATCTATAATCGCCGTTAGAGGGAGCATTTTTAATAATTTTCGGTATGAAATACGTTAATGAAGGCGTTATTAATAATTTTCATCACCAGTGAGAGAGGATTAAGATACTTTAAGGCCATCAGCATGGTAGTCAGCAAAAATTCCATTGCGCTTAAAATTTTCGATACCGAAGTGACGGAAAATGAAGGTAACTTCCCATAAAATCTAGAAAATCCAATTGTACAAGTTATACCAAAAAAGCCCCCAACACTTCAAGTCTAAACATTGAAAAAATATATTCACGCGGTTAAAATTTACTATAATTATACAAAATATGGCTTGCTTTTTTAACTATAAATAAAAGAGCTAAAATGTAATGTTTTCTGTCTTATAAACGATTTTTATAATATCATATAGGAAAGTGGCTCTCATCTTGACGTAAATGGTTGAATTTAAGTATTGGATTCAAGGTGTTTGAAAACATGGTTTGCAGGGTAGGTAATTTAGGTGGTCAAAAGTCCCCCTTCCATCATACTTACATGCAATGCTATAGAATAATTATCTCTTACAACTTTACCTAGAGATAGCTTTAAATAAAATGAAAGCGGTACTGACAGATCAGTACTGTATGAAAATAAATAAAAGTAAAACTCAAATACTGATATGCAAGGGAAGAAAAAGTAGGGAAAGAGCGAATATAAAGATAGGAGACGAAAAATTAGAAGAAGTGGCTGATTTTAGATACCTAGGAAGTCAGATAAATGAAGATGGAAGGAGTAGTAGGGATGTAAAGCAGAGGATAGCGCAGGGTCGTGTCGCCTTTAATAAAAAGAAGTCACTTCTATGCTCGCGAACGGTTAATTTCGAAATTCGAAAAAGGTTGTTAAAGGTGTATGTTTGTACGGGTGCGAAACATGGACAGTGGGAGCGGCGGAAAAGAAAAGGTTAAAAGCGTTCGAAATGTGGTATTATAGGCGGATGATGAGGATATCGTGGGTAGAAAAGGTTAGAAATGAAGAGGTATTGGAAAGAATAGGAGAACAGAGGACTCTATGGAAGTCAATAAAAAATAGGCGACATAGGTTGGTAGGACACCTTCTCAGGCATGAAGGTCTAGTCAGAGACATATTAGAGGCAGAAACAGGAGTTAGGAGGTAGAGGTAAACCTAGATTAGATTACTCTTCGCAAATAGTTAAGGATGTGGGTTGTTCTAGTTTTAGGGAAGTTTAGCTCAGGATAGGAAAGAGTGGAAGTACGTGTCCAACCAGTCTTAGGACTGATGACCTAATGATGATGACAACTTTACTAAAAATAGTTTGCATCGATTTCCAATAAATTTTAGCACGTATTAGGTCCATTTCGAACCTTTGCCAGCCACAATTGATTATGTGGCATATTACTTTTTTCGAGTACTATCTCTATGCGTAATTTTAAAAAAAAAGAGGCACTTTCACTGTCTGTGTATCTATTGATGACAACGTTGAAATGAATAAGATTACTATTATCCAATTTGTTCAACAAAGTGCCTAATTTTAAATTCCGTCAACTTTTGCTATTTTTGATTCGAATATTAATTCATTTAGATCCTCTTTTTATTATTAAGCGTACAATACATTGTAAGATACCGCATAGAAATTAATGGAAACAGAATTTTCGTTGCGGTTAAATTAGATTTGCTTTTTTAGTATCTTCCACGGTAATCTATCACAGCAGAAATATATGTAGGTGTAGGTATACGTACTGATACAGTATATATGTTTTTGTTTGTTACTTATTACAGTGTTATGCCTGGTACCAATTCTAATGCCGACACAATAGGAATAATAGAGGCGAAACGTCTTCAAAGAAAAAGCATAATAATTGAACGACATGAGATTGGAAACCGTATGAATCATTTATGCTCATTGTAAAAGGGCACTGAATTATGCCGTAGGTTACGTGTCTAATTATTTTGTTAATAAGCAGTCGCACTGAGACCGGTTCATAATTGGATACGTGAAGAGATGTGCTCAGAAGTTGCATGTCATAGGCGGCTTATTACACGACATGTTCCATTTAAATGCTTTTTACTTTCATCATAATTAATGTAAAAAACTGTCGATTATTTTTTGCCCAAGCGGAGCTCATTGGCCGCGCCGCGCACACTCGATTTTGATGGTTGTATTAAGACTTACTTATCCGGGACGTTCTTCTTCATCTTACTACTCTTACTGATAATTGAAACTCGAACCAATCGCCGATGATCGCCTCAAGTTAAACAATAAATAACTCGTTATGCCGCCGTGCTACCGGACAACATTGTTGAACAACAGACTCGCTAAAGAATGCTCTTCGTTACATCGTTTTTATTCCGTTAAACAATGGACCGAACACCTTCGGAACATTGTAACACAGTTTGCTTTGATAAATTAAAAATTTTCTATATTTGACTACAACAATTATTGAAGTATTTGCAAAAGCTGAACGAGGTGGTTTCTAAAGTTCCACATTCTAAGATATGTAAAAAACGTCGGCACTTTTACAAAGTATCTTAGCAATAAATGTTACGTTCCAAGAATTGAATTGTTAAGAGTTAAACGCGTTTTATGTTTAACGACTACTTTCGCACTATTTGGAGATCATCAAATAAGGATAGTAAATAAATAATTTAACGAACTTGGATGACTGTTGCTATATTTAATTTTTCCCATTGTTGGCGCCACCCTAGACGACTGGAATAGAAATTATGAAAAAGAGAAGAAGAATAGGAAAGTACCTGAATAATTTTGCCAGAAAGCGGCGCCGGAATTGATGAGATCGAGACCAGTGAAGCTCCAGGGTTTAGTGTCAGATGGAGGCGGCGGAGGTGGTGCTTCCCGTGGGGGTTGCATAAAAGAATGTGGGGCGACCTGTTGCTGTTGCTGCTGCTGCTGTTGATGCTGAGGACTATCCATAGGTTCTCTGTGGTCTACGCTTCCTACCGAGGAGGATTCAGAGGACCTTTGCTGCTGCTGTTGCAACGATTGATGCTGTTCCAGACGTTCCCGTTCAGCAGCAACGTCTCTCATGTGGGCGTTTGTTGTAGAACTACTACTGCTAGCTGCCGACTTATGGATTCCTGGAAGTTTCTGTTGTTGGTGTTGCTGCTGAGTTTCATTTTGATGAAAACTTTCTGCAATAAAAGGACGGTTTCGTTGTAAAATATTAAACTGCATGACCGCAAACAAGAGAACAAGAATGTCTGTGCTTCTTAATTTACTGAACCATTTATTAAAAGTTTTATGTTTCGGATTAGAAAAGCCTTTTCTCTGATTTTCATTTATTCCTAAAAAAAAGTTGGGTTGTACTAACATTAATAGGTTCTTTTGCTAAATTTATATTTTCTTGTTTACTTTGAATTGACGTGTTTATTGTCGTGACGGAGGTTACCCAACTAACAGCATATTGTGTCCATATATAAATGTTACTTTTTCTATAGATTAGATGATTTACTACTAGGATCAGTTCAAAACTGAATTTGAAAACCTGACTAAACTTTTACTTGAAGTTTTACGGGCAGGGCAGGGCAAGTACATTAACAATCTACCCGTAAAACTTAAAGTAAAAATTTTGTTGCGATTTGTTTTTCTACTTGTCCGTTACCATTCGTTTTTCCACTTGTCCGTTGAAGTTTCACTTCTACTATGTGTCCCAGCACACGTTTCGTTTTCACGGGTTTACTGCAAATTATGATTTGGTTTTTACACAGATCGCAAATAGAGGCAATGATGCCCAGCCACATGGAGAGCAGAGATAAGAAACCAACAGCTGAGCACAGCACACGCCGTTGGGACTCTAACGGACTCCATGCTCTCCGCGCGGTTGCGCATTGTAACAATCTAATACAGCCGTTGCCATCTCTCCGTCACCGCCAGCGTTTCTCTCTCTGCGCCACTGTTGCCTCTCACCACGCAATATACCGTCTACCCCCTCCATGCGGCCGTAACGCTTTTTCGTTTCGATATAAAAAATCGTAAAACCCCGTGTATATAGAAGTTTCACTTCAAAAAAGCTAACAGAAACATGTGAAATTCCTATGTTCGGCGAACACTTTGCCTTACCTGTATATTACGTACATATGTACAAATTATTTATCGATCAAGCAAGGCATATTACATTTTCTTTTCTTCTACTATATAAATGTGGTGCACAACTGCACAAGTTCATAACAGAAATACTTCGATTGATTTGTATAATATCGCTTGAGCCCTTAGGATTTCGTGATCAATATGAAGGATGTGGTTGTTGGCGAACGTAATTGTCCGGCTCTCGTAGTTCATTTTCAGGCCGAGGGACGTTATGCGACGTGTTGATTGCGGCAACGAAGATTGCCTTCACGTTATATGGGAAATGGCAATGCCAATTAGAAGATATTTTATCGTGAACACAAATGGTGAGAAACACGGAAGCGTTTAGAACCGATTCTGTAGACTATTTGCTATTAAGAGTAAATATCTATGTCGGTAGAACATTAGTTTATGGTCATTCATCATAAATTGTGGACAGTGTAGGAGAGTATGATCATGATCCGGTTTTGCAATATGCTGTCAGGATGCACACTAATTTTAAGATGATGAGATGTTGTCGTGTCACATACACTCTCAATGTACCTTAAATTGCTTTCAGAAATTAGAGTAAAAGTAAGCTAATTACTGTAAACCGCTTTATGAAAGGGATAAAATAAATATGATTTTTTTATTATAAAAACGCTTAAGAATTAATGAAACTCGACTTGTGGTATCAGTTTTAAAAATATCGAAGATGATTTCTATTTCGCTACTATACCGTGGTTGAGCTATCCACTAAGGAGTACTAAATGGCACTAACAGTATATAAGTGTGTTATTGGCTTTAGCCGATTCAAGAATTAGCATTTTAACACATCTTTCGCGTTTGATTCATTTGTATATATCATTATTTTCCATGAATGATTCTAGGTGTTCAATGATAGTTTTGTAACAACGGCTTCTGGTCGTCTTAAATGCATTGAATAGACGGATCTTCTTCTTCGAAACTAATCGTAATTTGAAATAAAATGCAGGGGATCAAGGTAGTATCAAAACACGTCGGTGAGTGAAAGAGTGGTCCGCGAGAAAGAGAGATCCCTTGAGCCTTAATTACCCCCGGGGTTCTTAACTTGGGACTGATTCGAACAGGTTAAGACGCTTGTGCTTTCTTATTAAAATGGTTATTAAAGTTTACCGACAACCGATCCTCGTTCGTCGAACAACGAAACGATTCGAATCCCGTTCAGAAATTAAATTCCCATTTACCGACTCGGCCATTGTTGTATTGTTTGAAATTGATGAGGCCGCGGTGAAATTTAGTTTTTGTGAAGAAAATAACACAAACATCTTGGGGACGACCGGTAATATTGTTTAAAGTTCTTTTCTATAGTGGTTTAGATTTTATTAATTTAATTATAATTTACCATATTTGTCATTATGTTCCATTTACTTCAAAATCTTTAGACTAATGCACTCTATGCAAAGTACTTATAGTATCTCGACATTTCAAGTCTTGCTAAACATAAGAAACAAAAGAAGTTACTGTTTGTTCTCTTCCCATCAAGTCCCAAAAACTTCCTCTACTTAAACAGGAAATCATAAAATACAGTATTACCCGACTAGAATTTATAGGGGGCATGACCCATGCAGTGTGCGAGCCTCATGTGGCTAATGTGCCGATATAGGGATTTCCCCGTAGATTCCTTATGAAAATCCCACCAAAAATAGTGGTGATACTGAAATGAGGATTACCTTATGAGTTTTTCATAGCGGTCTTAAGGGGCAAACCTATCATATGTATAAACTTAATAAATAATTAAATTTTTAAATACTTTATCTTATGGTGGGTCGATAAGGTAAATCCGTTTGAGAGTACTCTCGGTAAAATGAAAAATCTTATAATAATAATCCCCTTGCACAATTATATCGTCGTCTGATATTGTTAATATACAAGACAACTAAAACCAGACGCATCAGGTCGAACAAGAGTAAAACGATCGCAATTTAAAGTATTATTGACTACAAAACAGCCCAATGGCACAATATTGTAGTATCAAAGTGATATATGTATATATTGTATTTTTTTCATTAATAATAAAGTTCATTTTTCCAAAAATTTTTAATGGGTTAACACTAATTTTTCCTTGCGAGGGCCACATGCGGCATTTCTGATGATGCGCAAATGCGACAAGACTCTATATGCCCCTTGCTTGCCCTAGGGGGCAACCTCATGGGGACCACAAGAGGTAGTGTGGCTACCCACTTAGGGACCCTACCTGCACTCACCTCAAAATTCTAGTCGGGCACTGATTGAGTATTACTAGGATAATTCATAAAAAATTCTAACTGAACAAATGAGTCTCTAAAAGTATGTACAATTCAAACTTAAATTTTAAGATTTCTTTGACTTACAAATTTTCTAATCCTATTTATAGATACACGGTACAAAATACAAGTCCAAAGTCATGTAAATAGCTGCGTAATTCTGTAAGTATGTAAACTTTGGAATTGCTTTACAATGAGACACGTACCGTTTATTATTCGAAGCTGTTCTGAACCACCAGCAGCTTTCAAAGCTTCTTCTAGTTGCACTTTTCGTTTTATTTCCGTTTCCAAATCTTGCTGAAGCCTTTTTCGGAGACGTCTCTCTCTGCGAAGTCTTTTCTGCAACACAGCTGAAAAGAAAAATAATTATATGATTACAGAAATTAGGCGCCTGTGTAAACATTTATATTGCATGTAGTTTATCGTACATATTGTAAGTGGCAAATCTTGCAAGGTTAATATGAGCATATTTTAGTTTCATGAATTATCACCACATTATTGATCGGCTTCTAATAAGTAGGTATTTCCCGCTACTATAAAATCAAATACAGCATAAAAAACGGCTCTTACCATTTATGCATTAATATTTCCTAATGACATAAAAGCATAGTATACTGTTGCCCTTTCTTCCCCAAAAATGTGTCGTATAGAGTAGGAAATCAAGCTACATATTTTATCTATACATTGTGTTATAAATGATTTTAGTTAATTATTCTAATTTATTAAATATAAATCCATGTTTCACTGGATTATGTTCAACGACAAAACTACCGCATTCTTGGGCTTTCAAATCTTATAACTTAAAAACTTAACCCTGAAGATGCCTCATATTTGAGGCGAAACGTAAGTTGTTGGTTTCGTATAAATAAAAAACCTTTTCCCCATATGTAACTTGATTCCCTACTCTATACAAAAGCATATAGTCAAAGTAGTTTTTTTTTATTATATTTATAATCTACATACATCAATATCGACAATCCTTTAAGTTTATTTTTGTATAATTACAGCTAGTTAATTATATCTCCTAAATGAATACCATAAAATAAGATGACGTGAGAAAAGGGGTGGACTTATAAGTTTCAGTGGTTCTAAAAAGTTTTATTAACATATGCCAGTTTTGTGACTTCGAAAATTTGCTAATATGAATAACAAAGACTAATTTTTTGCTTTTTTGCATCCCTAAGCAAAAACACACATGTGTTCAAAGGTACGTACATAACTTTTGTAAAAGTTAAGCTCAATGACCATCAAAACGCTACGTGTATCATCACCATGATCGTCAATCCTAAGACTGGTTGGTTCCTATCCTAAGCTAAATCTTACTGAGCTAATCTTCGCATTTTTCTAAAGCTGGAACATCCCACATTCTTAATTATTTGTGAACTGTAATCTAATCTAGGTTTATTTCTGGTCCTCTTCACTTCTGCTTCTGCCCCTAACATGTCTCTAACCAACCCTTCATGCCTGAGAAAGTGGACTCTATCAATCCGTATTTCTTATTGAGTTTCGTAGATCCCTCTGTTTTCCTACTGTTTCTAATGTCTCTTCATTTCTATCCTTTCACAGTATACGTCTATATAGTAATAAAACTATTTTTTACTATTATAACTATTGTAATAACATATAATTTTTATACAGTCCCGGCTGTGTTTTTCGTTTAATTCATACAGTTAGTGACTTTTGGAGCCGCATGATAAGATCGGGTTTGACCATAAAGATATAAAAAATTGATAATAAAGTGTTCTTGATTTACTTCTCGAATTCTGAGTTATTGGGTTTAGAATGATAATAATTGTAACAAAAATAACGGGAACGAACAATACTCGGCCTAATTCAATATGCATTATTTTTATAATATTTGGACTTATGATCCTTGTGCTTATTTTTATGAGGCATTTTGTTGGTTTAGCAATTTTACAATTAATAAATTATAATTATTTAGGATGCCACCCATTGTAGTTAAAATAAATCTTTCTCAGCTACACAAGTTTCAGGATTATCAGGTCCTGATAATGTTCATATATACATACATACATAGATACATTGGCACATGCCAAAAGATGAAAACGTGCGAAGTTATAGTGTAACAAAGGGCAGAATAATGGATTTCAGTTGGAAGTTGGCCCCCCGGAGGGCTCCGCTGTTAAACAGTCTCACACTACGGGGGGCCCGTAAACTGGTCCTCCTCGCCTATATCGCTACAGCTAATTATAACACTCATTACTGAAGTTTATTAATCAATGTTCAACGGAAATCACAGCCATTGCCTTAACTTTTCCTTTGGTTGGCATTGCTCTTATGTGGACTGCCTCGCCTTGTCTTTTTCTCAACATTTATTTATTACCAGCTTTGACCCGCGACTATTTCTAATTATTTATTTATTTAAACTCCGTGGTATTCATTTTATGAACTGGGCATAATTAAAAACATCAAAATGAATCAATAATTTCTAGTAGACTACTTTGCTCTTTAATTCTTAATTTGTTTATTTTATGGTTCATGTAGGCACATTGGTATGAAGACAAGTAAAAAGGATGGGTGCCAATAACCTTAGTAATTTCCCCTCTAATTCACGAAAAATTCAATAATAGCATAGAACCCAATTAATATAGTTTTTCAATACTGTTGGTCCAGTGCGCTCATATATTGCGCGAACGTATACGTAAGTGGTAGAGCAGTTTAATGATTTAGGGCTGTATGAGCTGTATGTTCATAAGGAAAGAAATGGGATAATCCGTGCTCAATTACAATCGCGACATTCATCTTCAAAAAATATATACCTAATGCATGGATTCAATATAATAATTGTCTTTCACCACCAGTTTGTGGATGGTACTGCCAGTGTAAAGTATGTACACGAGTCGTGGGCTGTTGTGCACATGTAGCTGCAGTTCTCTGGTATTTAGGACACAACAGGTACTTGGAAGAAAAAAATCTCAAATGGTCAATTACAGTAACTACATCTTCGACGCCGCTATGTCACAGTGTTCTGATAATAATAGCGAAAACTCAGATTAATCATTCTTACTATTTTAATAACTAATTAATGATAATATAATTTGCTTTGTTAACTTGCTTACCTTAAAAAACGATTATTCCTTGTCACATACATATTAAAGTATTTGACTTTGTTTGACTTTTATCTTAATTACAATTACCTTTAGTAAATATATACAAGAATAAAAACCAAAAATTCTTCAGGGGAAAATATACCTATCTTATTGACACCCATCCTTTTACATTTATTTAAAGCTTTATAAGAATATAATAAGCCCCTAGAGGATTTCTATTAAACTGTATGAAAAAGTGGAAAATGTCATATGGCTGAATTTTTTTCAAATTCGACTAGAATAGAGTTTAACCCCAAATAAAGAATCCATGTACGGTAGATGCTATAAAAGCCTGGCAGTGAAACGCAGCTCCCGCTCTGTTACATAAACATTCAATCAGCCGACAAAATCTATAATACCTATAAATACGATATCAATAAAAGAGTCTCCCGGGAAGTTAGGGAAAACACCCCGTTTTATCGACAAATGTCTCGAAAAAGCATTACCCACTGGGTTTGTTATATTTTAGGAAAGACAGAAGCAATGGAATATCAACAGCAAGAAAACGCATCTACTACAAAAAAATGTACAAATTTCGTACCAGGAATTCATGATAGAAAAATTATTGCAGTAAAAGGCAAATGATTATATTGTTTCGTTTAATCTGTTGCTGTAAGTTGTGCAAATATTGCAACTATAAATCACTTGCCTGATTATAGTCAACAGAACAACAGGACGTTGAAGGCTTTAGCTGTGAACACATTTTGCTTACTATCTCCCAGATTTGAAATAATCAATAGTCAAAATAGAATTACCTATTATTATTAATTTAATCTAATGATTCTATTCAGGGTCGTGTCGCCTTTAATAAAAAGAAGTCACTTCTATGCTCGCGAACGGTTAATTTAGAAATTCGAAAAAGGTTGTTAAAGGTGTATGTTTGGAGCACGGCGCTGTACGGATGCGAAACATGGACAGTGGGCGCGGCGGAAAAGAAAAGGTTAGAAGCGTTCGAAATGTGGTGTTATAGGCGGATGATGAGGATATCGTGGGTAGAAAAGGTTAGAAATGAAGAGGTATTGAAAAGAATAGGAGAAGTCAATAAAAAATAGGCGAGATAGGTTGGTAGGACACCTTCTTAGGCATGAAGGTCTAGTCAGAGACATATTAGAGGCAGAAACAGGAGTTAGGAGGGGTAGGGGTAGACCTAGATTAGATTATTGTTCGCAAATAGTTGAGTATGTGGGCTGTTCTAGTTTTAGGGAAATGCGAAGTTTAGCTCAGGATAGGAAAGAGTGGAGGTACATGTCCAACCAGTCTTAGGACTGACGACCTTATGATGATGATGAATGATTCTGTTAAGTGTTTTATGAATAATCGCCCAATTCCAGAAAGTCGGACACCTTAAGAGGAGATATCATTACAAATCTACATCTATATACGTAACACATAATTATATAGTGATTTCATGTGTCCTGTTGATTCGCAGCTCATGGACATACCGCATCATTAATTCTAAATTCTAAAAATCCAATCCTATTCGCAGTTTCCTTGGCAAAACAGGATCCCGCTTCATTTTAAATTCCAGTGAAACGTGTTTCTCATCTTTCTCGGTTGCGTCCAACAATCAAAATTCGACATGTTCCTATGGAAGCGAGAACGCTTTCTCAAGACCCCTGACGTATATTAAGTAGGTAGCTATTGTATAGGTATGAAAATCTGTTAGTACCTAATGTATGTAGGTATATCGGAGTCGAGTAACGTATCGATCATAAATCGGCAGCCTTCCATCTTGGGAATTACAATAATAACAGTAAGAGGAAGCGAGAAGGTGCAAGCCGTGGGTAGGTACGCGATAAAGTCAGCATGATATGCAACATTATGCATCGCCGACCTGATTGGCTGCCGCGACAATAATTGTACGTACGTCTAACCACTCCCATTGCTCATTTTTCCAGTCGCTCAGTCCAAAAAACAGGTGCATCCGACCGGCTTCAGCGGCCGCATGCAATTGCTGACCGCCTGCTACCGATATCGTAGATATGTAAATTTGAAAACGACTTGTCCAATTACGGACCTTCTTAACGCTTTGCGCATGCATTTCTTCATATACGGTGCGGTCGTCATGGGCTTGGTTGGACTGACAATTATACGAAACATCTTTGGAATCTGCCTAATCCAGAATTATTTTGCGCCACTTCGAAATTTTAATCGATTTACTCTTTATAAATATGATAATTTCAGGGCCAAATATGTCCCCTTAATTCCGATGAGATTTCATCTTGACATTCAGTGAAGAT